AAATTACATGGGGAATTTTTTAAACATGAGGATTAAACCCAGAGGCACTTTACCACTAAGCCACACCCCCATCCCTTTTAATATTTTACTTAGAGACAGGGGCTCACTGAGTCTCACTGAGTGGCTGAGAGCCTCATTGAGTTGCTGGGGCTGGCTTTGAACTCGTGATCCTTCTGCCTTAGCCTCCTGAGCTTCTGGGATTACAGGCGTGCGCCACCATGCCCAGCTCCCTTTTTGTGAGTTTTATTAAGATTTGTGAAATAATAAGAAATATAAGTTGGGCACAGTAACACATTTCTCTAGTCCCATCTACTAGGGAGGTCAAGTCAGGAGCATCACAAGTTTGAGGTCAACCTTGGCAACTTAGTGAGACCCCATCTCAAAATGAAAAATAAAAAGGACTGGAGATGTAGCTCAAGTTGGAAAGTACCCCCCCTCCCCTTCCAAAAAAACTAGAGAAATATACATATTGGTTTCTGTCCCCAGTTCTTGGCACAGAGCTTTTGAAACCTTTGGCATTTCTCAGAGATGGGATACCAGGAGAAGCTTCAGCTTTAAAGTTTGGTCTCCGCCCCGGTTCTTGAGACTGAGCTTTTAATACTGGGTAAATAGTGTCCATAGGGGAATCTTGATCTTTGACCCTGCCTCCTGGCAGGGCACTCCTGAGACCTAGGTAAATTCCTGATGATAGGAATGTCTGACAACTCTCCTAAATCCCTTGGAATTTCCTGGGTGTTAGGAACATCTTTTGTTCTAATGAGGTGATTTTAGGTGGCCTCTCTGAATTCCCTCAGGATGGAGGTTGGTTGCCAAGAGAACTGACATGTGTGATAAGAGGGTTGGAACTTTTAGCCCCATCTCCCAGCTTTGGGGAGTGGAGAGGGACTGAAGATTAAGTTAATCAGTGATTTCATCATTCATGCTCATGCAATGAAGCTTTATAAAAAACCCCAAATGTCCAGGAAGGGCATGGAAGCTCTGCACATCTTCCCGCATACCTCACCCTTATGCAGCTCTTTCATCAGTGTGCTTGGTAGTGTCCTTTGTGAATAAACAGTAGACATATTTCCCTGAATTTTGTAAGCACTCTAGCAAATTAATTGAATGCAAGGAACAGGTTGTGGGGATCCTTGATGTATAGCTGGATGGTCAGAAGTGTAAATGACCACCTACAACTTCAGCTGGCTTTGGAAGTAAGGGCAGTGTTGTGGGATATCATGGGAGATGAGGGGTCTCTGAAGAAGGGTCCAAGGATTTCCTGGAGAGAAGGGGAACTGGACTCAGGACCAGCAGTGTTCTTGGCATACGTGACAGAAAAGAATTTCAATGTGCTCATCAAAGGTGGAAACAGAGGTTAATTTAGGGAAGTAGATACACATTCAAGTGAGAATGAGAGCAATCTCCAGGGAAGTCTTTTGGGGTAAAGCAAGAAGTACATATTCAAGGGAGAACGAGAGTTGTCTTGAGAGTGAGAGATGCATTTTGGGGGTTCCCAATTTTTTTAAAGGAAAGTTGGCGGGGGCGGGGATATGGACAGGTATGTAGAAATGGTATCATTCTGGTGATCTCACGATAGCTCCTGGTGGTGTGGTCAGTCTCAGGGTTCCTAGGCTGATGTGGTGTTCATTATTTGATCAAGAGGTAGCATTGGAAAGTCTCCTAAATTATAGGTTTCTTGAAATATCATGTCTCTTTACTTAATCTGTTTTTCAGGGGACGGGGTTAATTTAACAGTGCCCAGGTATTACAGATTTCCCAGAAATTTGGGAAGTAGCACATCTGAAAAAGAGACTGGCTTGGGTGTGACGGGCCTGGAAAAGTATGTGGAACTTATGAAATAAAATATTTTTTATCCTGTTCTTCTTCTTTATGACTCCTTTGTACTCATTTCTTCTTTCTTCTATCTTACTTCAAGATCTGATCTATCTCCAAGTAGAGAGTAGCAGAATTGAATTGACTTGGAAGAGCTAGTGTCTGCTGCAGAATTGCTTGGTGTATGGGAAGATATCCCCACATATCTGGTGTCAGAGTGATGTGCTAGATTAAGTGCTGTGTAAAAGGCAGGAAAAATAGTATCTCTCCTCCTCACCTCTGAGGATTGCATTGAATAACAACAGGATTCTAATTGAGTTAAGGAGAACTAACATGTTAACAATTTGAATTTTCTGCTTCATGAACTTGAATATTTTAGGTATATCTTTAAGTCTTCTTTGATTTCTTTTGACGGTATTTTGTAGTTTTCAGCATATGGATCTTGAAAATATTTTTAAAAGGCTTTTTAAAAATATTTGTTTAGTTGTAGATAAACACACAGTATCTTTATTTATTTTTATGTGGTGCTGAGGATCGAACACAGTGCCTCACATATGCAGGGCAAGCACTTTACCACTGAGCTACAGCCCCAGCCCCTAAAAGGCTTTTTATCAAAGTATTTTATATTTTATGTGCTAGTATGTTTTAGTTTCTTTTAGTTTACAAATAAAATTGAATTTGTGCTTTGAGCTTGTATTCTGCAACCTTGCTAAACTCATGTGTTATAGTGTTTTTACCAAGTTTTATAGTTTTTTTTTTCCCCTTTTGGTAGGTTTACTGGGATTTTATAAATACCTGGTCATATTTTCTGGAATAGACGAGTTTTATTCTTCCAATCTGCATGCTTTTGTACCCTTTCCCTTTTTTTGTCCTCTCTCACCAGCCAGGTTCCCAGTGTCATGTTTAAAAGGAGCAGTCATTCTTGACTTGATCTTAGGGCAAAAGCAATCAGTTTTTCAAAAGTAAGTTTGGTGTTAGGTGCTGTTATTACTATTCTTAAAGATGCCAAATAGAGAAAATTTCTTTTCCTACTTCTCCGAAAGTATTAGGAATTGAGGCTGAATTTAATTCTTCTTTGTTAAGTGCCTCCTCATACCCTGGAGGCAGCCAGGGCTCTTGCTTTCTTACTATTTCACAGATGGTTTATACATATACAAATAGTATGTAAGGATATATTTTTCTTTTTCCTTTTAAACATGATTGCTAGACAATATTCTAACTATTATTTTGTTCTATACATGTATACATTCTTGCTTGCTTTTTAAAAAAATTTAACAGTATATTATTCTTTAGCTTTCATATATTCTCAATCTTTTTAAAAAAATACTTATTTTTCAGTTATAGGTAGACACATGTCTTTATTTTTACTTTATATGGTGCTGAGGATCTAACTCAGTGCCTCACACATGCTGGGCACCACTCTATCTCTGAGCCACAACCCCAGCCCTGTTCTCATTCTTTTTTGACAGCATAGTCAGTCTTTTGTTAATGAACATTTGGGAATTTCCAGTCTTTTGCCTTTAGAAAATACTTCAGTAAATGACAATGAATATGCACATTTGAAGCCATCATTTTAGACTTCTTGAGTGTGTAAATTATTTGGGAGGCGAACAGTTTTTTCCCCCCTTTGCTTCCCTGCTTTAACTGTGTCTAGATAATATGCTGTCTTTTGTTAAGGGCTCAGTTACCACAGAGAGAATAAAATTGTTGCGTTTCACACCAGCTCTTGTGCTTAGTCTAGGTGTGAGGTGACTCCTCACCTATCATTAACATAATTCACATTTGTCATAATTTCTTTCCTGTAGTATCAGAGCCATCAGTGATAATCACCTTGGAAGTCAGTAGGAAGGAAGACTTTTCCTTGCAAAGGCATTTCCTAGGTGCCTGCTCTTCCCTTACAGTTATCTCAGACTCCTGGTGTAGTCTTTATCATCTTGCCAGATCTTAGGCCACTGGTTTGACTTTGACTCACTGATAGCTCTTTTAGGTTCCTAAAATTCCATTCCTCCTAACATAGTAATCCTTTGGGTTTTGCCTTTCTTATACCATGAGGTATTCTTCATCATTTCCAGATGCTGTATTGTCTTTATGTGGAACAGTGTTTTTATTTCTGAAGAGTTATGTTTTTATCTGATGAATAAACTCAGCCACAAGAAAAATCTGAGTGTAACAAAAATTTGTATTTCCTTGCAGTTTTTTCACTGAGAATCTTCTGTTTTATAGACCATTTGTTTTTCTCAGATGTGATCTTTCTATATACAAAGGTGGTTTGGAAAGGGGAAACACTGTGTTAGGGCTTCTTTTAGTGAATATAAATGAATGATATTTGCTTTTCAAGACCAAGGTTATATCGCTCTCATTATTGTAAAAATATTTTATTTAAGTCACTGTGAAACTCTATGAGCGTAAGCTTTATAAAATTAACACAAAGACCCATCTTTAACTTACGTATGCCAAATTTAGCAATCAGTTGGTGACGTTTTTACCTGAATGAGACCAGGGCATAGCAGACAGCGTGGAACGTAGCCATGGACAGGGAGCCTCAGGGCTACTTGGTTCTGCTGGTGGTGTGCACCATGTCTTTAGGAATTCATTTTTCCAGTTCCTAAAAAAAGAATTAATATTACCATCCTCTCCCCTTTTTTCACAGTGGTATATTGGAAGATCTGAGAGAGGCAGGATTAAGATTTTTAGAATAAACATTTCTGTGGTGACAAAGGTTGTTACAGTAAAAACAAAGATGAATGTACTATAAAATCTTTAAAGCAGTGTGCACCCTGTTGTTTAGGGCATAACAATAAGCTTGTTATCCTGAAATAAGGACACATTTCTGAGTTATTTTCAAACCAGATGGTCCCTCAGTTTTGACTACTTTAAAACACCTCAGCTGTGGATTTAATGGGTTTAGGGGATAGGAAACAATTTTAGGTTCATCCATCTGGCCTCTGCCTACAGAACCAATAGAAGTTACTTTTTATGTAGTTTCTAAAACTCATTTCCAGATTATTCAGATTAGCTTTAGCATTCTTAGTATAAGATAAAGTCTTAATTATACAAAGGAAATTATACAAAGGAAAAAAGGCTTTTAAATGTTGCCGAATCAGTTTACTGGTTGCTCAATATTTAGTTATACATTTGATTGCTTTTGTGGTTCCAGATAGCAATTATTTCTAATATTTATTTTTCAGTGAGGGCCGAGGCAAGTTGACCGTATTTTCAGTTAAAGCTATGTTAGCAACCATGTGTGGTGGAAAAATGCTGGACAAATTGAGATGTAAGTATTTTCATATTATTTGAAAACTTTTCTTTTCAAATTAGGAGCTTTAAACAGTTTTGATGAATGTTTTGGAAGATGCCTTATTGAGCTTTTATTCTCTGTGTTTTGTATTTTATTTTACCTCCTCTCTTTGCAGCAACTGGCTCAGTATGTGAGTTACGCCACCTACTGTTCAAATGGAGAAGTTGGTTGATTTAATTGTTTTTTAAAGTGAAAAAACCAAAGAGGTTCAGAATAATAATGTTGATATTTTAAAAATCCTTCAAAAACTACTGTTTTCTATGTTACTACAATGTATTTGAAGATGATTATATTGAGAACTTTTACCTAATTAGAAAATAAATTTGATTGCCTTTGAGGGGTCTGGTCAAGCCCAACCTTTTCTTGATGACAACTTTTGGTCAGGTGGTATTTGCTGTGGTTAAACTATTCTCAGTACTTATAGTCAGGCTCAGCTATTTGGAAATTGATAGCCTTCCCTCCTGCAAGTTATCTTTTCTTTGTTGTTGTTTTGGTTTTCTGTTGACCAGTTTGGCATTTTATTATTCAGTAGATATTGTAAGAATGTGACTAGATGAAATCAGTGAAGACAAGAACTACAGCTATTTAATTTTTCTGATTGTGGTTTGTATTTATTCGATCATTAGGCGACTTGCTTCTGGACTGTGCCAAGCATTGTGCTAAGTGTTCTTCATATCGTTTCCTATGAAATCCTTAAAAATTCCTTCAAGCAGACGGTGGCTTTTTTTTGTTTGTTTGTTTTTTAATTTTATGGGGGAAAGCTGGGATTTCATCTGAATTCAGAGCACTGGTCTAGGCTACTGTGTCGTTTTCCCCCACGCCAGTACTGTAATGTGAGGCACACATGTTACAGAACCATGTTCGAGTACTTCCATACAAGCACCAGAGACAAAGGAGCTTGCCTCAGGTTTCAGGGAGATGGAGTTGAATCTGTGTGTTTTTTAATTTTTTTAAAAAAATATTTATTCTTTAGTTATCGGTGGACACAACATCTTTGTTTGTATGTGGTGCTGAGGATCGAACCTGGGCCGCACCCATGCCAGGCAAGCACACTACCGCTTGAGCCACATCCCCAGCCCCGAATCTGTGTGTTTTAACCAAGTGTTGAGATGCTCTCTGAATTCAACTGTGCTGTAGCATGTCTCATAAACTAGGTCTTGATGATTGCATACTTGGGATATTCCTTTGGGTTCTGCTTTTTTTTTTTTTTTAATTGAAAAAACAGAGGCTTGATCATCTCAGATTTGAGTGAGCTTTGGATGAGATTGCCTCATAGGCACATTTGTTCTCTCTGCTTTTTTTTTATGTGACGCATTGACATTGAAAGTTGGAAAGTTAGATGGCCCACAAGATCAGATTTAGATATTCTAAAGAACGATCTTAGATCATGTATTTGATCAACTCTTGTCCTGTTTATCTTCATTTCAAAATTGGCTGCAATGTCGTAAAGTGGTCATAAAAATTATTTTTTTATTTAGATACTTTTCTAAGGTTTTTTTTTTAAACATGATATCTCAAAATATTACTCTTTGGGACTGAAATCTTTCATATTTTCTTAATATGGAATGGTGTTTTTCTGAGGAAGATACATAGATGAATTTATATTTCATTGACATACACAAGAAAGTTGGAATCTTGTTTGAGTTTTAAATTGATGATGTTACCAGATGAAGAGGCTGGTTGGAAAATAGTAGTAGATTGATGGATTTTATTTAGCTGCATATTCTATTTTATTTATTTTTATGTGGTGTTGAGGCTCAAACCCAGTGCCTCATACATTCTAGGTAATACAGCCCCAGCCCCTAACAGCATATTCTAGATGATCCTAGAGTCTTTACATTTCTGTGATTAAATTTGCTACATTTATATGTAGTCGGCTCCCCTGGCACATTGTGAGTACTTAGAAATTTGCCAAATATACATTATTGAGCGAATACTAAAATCACTACAATTTTTTGTTGTTAACTGTTTAGTGAAAAAGTGCAAATTCCTCTAGTATATAAAGTATGGAAGGACCCATGTGGTGGCAGTTTGTGTTTTCTATGCTGATGGTCCAACCTATAGCCACAAGCATGCTAGTTAGGCAAGCACTTGACAGCAGTTTTTTTTGGTGTGCTTTGAACTTCTTGGAAAAACATAAATCGACCAAGATTCAGTGGGCACAAGAACATGCATGCTACCGCAAATGGGATGTGTTGGTGTGCTCAAAATGCTTTCATTACACTTAGAATAAAGATTGAGATGATACAAGTTGTACTTGATTACTGATCTCTTAAGCACCGTGTTTATCTTATTCAGATACATAAAGATACATTTTTTTTATGCTCATAATTATGGTTTTTCTACCAATGTAGCTCTGTTTAATTTTTATTGTACTGTAATTATCTTGGCTTGGGAATTAGATGTTCAACGTAAGTGGACATTTTGGGTATTGAAAGCCTGTCTCCAGTTTTAAATTTCAACCACCCAGGGTGTAAACCACTTTAAAATGTGGCCAGTTTCTTCTCTTTACCAGAACTCACTGATCATAATTTAAACATCTTTCATTTGTTAGTGATGTCATTTTTTAATGTATTTAGGGATAAGTAAAGTTTAGGGTTGTTTAGTCCCTTCTCTTGAGACTGTAGTTGACCCATGGGATTAGGGGTGCTGACCCCCCCCCCAGTAGAAAATCCACAAAATGCTTTTAACTCCTCAGTTCTTAACTGCTAGTAGCCTGCTATTGGCCAAAGGCCTTACTAATAACATAAACGATTGATTAACACTTTGTATGCTGTATGTGTTTTGTATGGTAGGAAATAGGCCAGAATGGTGAGAGATGGTTCACTAAAATATGCACTTTTCTGGAGAAGTGGACTGCTCCTGCGGAGATGATTAGTATCACACATGTTCATGTGATGCAAGATGGGCTCACCTGCCCACTCTGATAGCACTAGGAGGTAGCTACAAAACATGGTAGTAGTACACTATGTACTACAGTTGATTTTATGCAGTGTGTTTCAATACTGTGTCTTTGCATTTGTTTACATTTCTCTCCACTGCAAGTGGTGCCATGTGTAGTTTGTGTGAAAGCTTTGATAAATTTTAACTTTTCATAGTTGATTTGTATAGAGTATAAATGACAAAATAGACTTATCTACATATATTTTATACATTTTTCATATTTTTTTCAGTATTTCTAAGTTATGAGGTTCATCTGTATATAAATAAGTAAGTGGACCTGAGCAGTTGAAACCAGTGTTGTTCCAGGGTCAGCTGTACTGTGCCTTGTAAATTCCTGATTGTTGTTGGAGGTAGAATGCATGTGTCCTTTATCACTGGTTAATGTGATGTTAACATTATACTAGTCTCTAGAAGTCTTTTTGCTTCTGATTTACTACTTTTCATATACTACTGAAAAAGAAAATCATAATGAAATTTCTTAGTATCTGTTTAAGCTAAAGATTCAGAGTGATTTCTCCATTATGAGATTACTCCATTATGAGAGAAGCACCTGGTTGTCAGTTTTGGCTGTTGTGAGAATCTTTCCCTTGGCTTTTAATTGAGGTGGCTGATTAAGGAGGCAACCAAAGTGAACTATAACTCTGGCTGGTAACATCACAGAAGGACTCATCATTTATTCACTCTCTTCTACTCCACCCTCCTCCTCCTCACTGCTTTTTTACTGCTATCTCTATTCATGTTTTCAATACGTTAGGTTTTCTAGTATATGGAATACACCTTAGCATGTGTACTTTTTTTTCTTTTTACTTTGATCTTTTAGTTTTTACCTCTTAGAATTTAAAAACTTTGAATTTTCCCCCCATCTTTTTCATTTGACTTCTTAACATTTGTTTTAGTGTCAAGGTAGCATTTGAAATGACTTGTGCCTTTAGTCTGAAACATTTTCTGATTGGATTTTTAAGATTCCTCTTAAAAGCATTTTGTTTCCTGAGCTAGGTTTTGTGGCTTATACCTGTAATCCCAGTGACACACAGGAGGATGGCAAGTTCAAAGCCAGCCTCAGCAACTTAGCAAGACCCTGTCTCAAATTAAAAAATAAAAAAAAGCCTGGATGTGGCTCAGTGGTTAAGCAACCCTTGATTCTAACCTCCACTTCCCCCCAAAAAAGTATTTCTGTCCATGGGTGTCATTCATTTGCACAAATGGTTCCGTGTTGGTACTATTAGGGACTGTATCTTAGAGTGAAAGTTAACTTACATCAGGATTATAAATAGCAGTGATTTATAATCAGAATATAAACTTTAAAGTATAATTTAAACAGTAATATCAGAATTCCAAAATATAACTAATGAGAACAAAACTTTTGGAATGTAAAGTCTATTATTAAGCAACACTTAATTGTCAGTTACCTGACAATTCTATTTGTTTTATAAGAAATTTAATTTAATCACCTCTTATGCAAATCCCATCTAGTTGCACTAAATAATAGGACTGGGTGATTTGTAAAGTTATTTTACTAGTGTTACCGTTTTGAAGAGCGCAGGGAAGGCTGTAAAAATATTCAGATCCCTTTGTTCAGTCTGCTTCTGCAGCTTTCCCTAAGGAATAATCAGAAGTGCACCTCCAATTTTAGATATATGTATGTGTGTGTGTGTACGTTTACATATATAAATACAATTATTTTTGAGATGAAAATGTCATTAGGTTGTCCACCCTGGTGTCAGAGTAGTCCTCCTACCTCAGCCTCTCAGGCTTTTGGGACTACAGGTGGGCACCACTGTACACAGCTTAAGTTTTAGATACATTTAAATGTATTTGTTGGAATGTTTTTTATAATACACAGAAACTTGGAACAGTTTAGTGTTCAAAAGGGAGAGCTCAGTTAAGTTTTGAGACATTCACGTAATTGAATATAATGCCTTTAAAAATATGTTATAGATCAAAATGCATAAATGTAGTGTGGTTTTCAACTATAATTGATTATGCACATAGAAAAATAAGAAATAAAAATCAAAATAAATAAGTAAATAAAA